TTCTGTAGAACCCAAACATCCAGACAGTTAGACATGAAACCTGGATGCTGTGTAATGCACTTAATGTTTCCCCCAAAATTGTTGTACTCATCATTTTTTTCCTGTATTGGCATCTTTTCTGGAGTTTTTCCTCTTTTCCTCTGGAGTTTCACATAACTCACATCTGTCACACTTGCACCTGTAAAAATCAAAACCACAGTTAAGATGTATTTTAACATAGGAAATTGCTAACAGTTAGGGCCAGGCCAGCCAGATCACAGGCCTATTGGACTAGGCCCCATTTTCTTCGGTACGATCGACTTCGAAAACCTGCAAAGGAATCGCCAATCACCTCCACTAACCCCAGCTGTATTAATTAAATCATGTTCATGGCCATAGCTTGCATGGCATGATGACATTTTACAGGATCAGGACCCTGACACACTGATATCTAATTAATATGGTCAGTCACACTGGAAGCATGCAGTGCATCCTGCATGCCCTGTACATAGACTGGACATTTTGTTTACAGTGTAGGCTAAACTGCATTTCGCATCATGTCGAGCGATGGCGCGCCTAGACGCCGTATAAACTCATCAATAGTACCTTAGAATACCCTACTAAACTAACGATAGAGACATGAGAGAAGGGGTGTAAAAAAACTGAGACCTATCAGTCAGTATTGTCCATTCGCTGTTCCAACCAATAGTAGTCTTGCCAAGCATGCCATACATCTTCACTGTTATCGGAAATGTTTATAGAGTCCAGACTACCGTCAAAAGACGAACTTGAAAAGCTATCAACACTAGATGATGAAAAACACGCCATAGCCATAATAAACAACACAACTCATGACGTCATCGCAACTAATTCCAAGAGATGGCGCTGCGAACAGTATTTTAATGTGTAAATTAGCAGGCGACGCATATTTCGGGAAAAAAATGCTTCAAAACTATATTTTTAGACAGATTTATTTTTGCAACAAGTTGCTCTTGAAAAAGTAGTGTCTCAGCAATGAAAAAATGCAAAGTTGTGCACAAGCTTAGTGGTTACTCTTTAAGTAGATTGAAATAAATTTGTTAAGCAGCCAGTCTCAAATAATGGAAGAGGGAAAAAAGTTGACAGCTACATATGCGATGTATCTAAAGTAAAGGAAACTGTAAATAAAAAAGAAAAAAGAAAAAGACAGAACGATCGCAAAGGAAAAACATAAACACACAGCTTGCAGAGACGGTAAAGAAAAATGAATTTAAGTCACACCTTGAAAAACACGCAAGGAATATTGCAAGTTTGGCTTATGTAAACAAGGACACAGTCATATTGGGACATGAAGAAAAAGTTGTAGAAGATGGAATCGAGCGATACAACGAAGACTACCCGAATTCTCGGAGCAAAAAAATCATAGCCCACAGGAGGTTGGGATTATTCGAAAAGGGAAAGAAACGCTCTTTACATGTGACATTCACGAATAAGCAAATGACAACTGATGTAATAAAGAAAGCTAAAGTCCTGGCGACACACGAAGAATATGTGAAAATCTGGATAAAAGAAAATATGACCAAAGATGACAGAAAAAAATGGAAGAGGTAAAAAGCAATAGCGAACAAAAAAAAAAAAAAAAAAAAAAAAAAATGGAGGGTGAGAAGACCTTCAAGCAAAACAAGTTTACTATCGGAACCAAAATATGGAGACAGACAATCATTAACCTTGCAGCCAAATGGAATACCGAAAGATTATATAGAAATAGTTTATACAAATATAAATGGTTTATGTTCGAAGTAGATGCAATTATTGAAAGTAATAAACCAGGTGTAATATACAACACTGAATCAAAACTGGATCCCTCCGTAGATGATGTAACACTAGGACTCAGAGACTACAATATTTTGGAGAAAAGATAGGGCAAATGGAAATGGAGGGGGGTAGCAATATTAACAAGAAAAGGAATTATTTTAAAGGAAGTAGAGATTCAGCAAGATCCCATAGTAGAACTAAAGGCAATTGAGGGGGAAACAAACGGAGTATAATAATAATCATGCCACCTGTACATAGCACCTCATACATCGGTGTGGTCACAAGAAAATTACCGAAAGCTTATTTAAACTTTAAAGAGTCTGGAAGAAGTGCTACAACTTTCGGAAACTGATGCAAAATAAATTCTTGTAACAGGGGATTTTAATAACAAAATTGACTGGGAAAGTTTCGATCCCAGAGCTCAGCCAGATTCGTGGAATGCAAAATTACTAGAAGTCATAAATGAATTTTGTCTCTTCCAGAACGTAACAGATCATACCAGGATAAGAGGGCTAGATAGACCGTCCATGCTTGATCTCGTATTTACAAAGCATAAAGATGACTCTAAGGATATGGAGTGCTGCCTTCCTCTAGGAAAAGGTGAGCATGTAGTAATTAAGTTGAAATACTATCTGCTACAGGAAATAAAAATCGTAAGTAAGGAAAGAAAAGGAAAGTACAATTACAAGAGAAGTAATTATAGAAGCCTTAAAGATGTCTTTGATGG